AAGGAAAAACCATAAACCAAATTTAATTAAATGGAGGGTTTAGGGTAATAGTCTTTACTTTCAAGCAAGCGGGTTTCTTTGGATTTGCATAAAAATATACGGAGGATTAAATGTGCATAAACATACACAAGATTAAATGTATGCAATTGACTGCCATGATTTTGGATTAAATGTATACAATTTGGGGATAAATGGGTGTTTAAAAATAAAATTAAAAAATCAACAAGAATGATTTTGGATTTTGGATTTTGGATTTTGGATTTTGGATTAGTGATTTTTGTTGAATATAAGAATCATAACTATTTTAGGTTAAAGATGACACTATAATTACCTAAGTGACATTTCATAAAATAGAAAGCTAATTAGTAAGGATGAAGATGCAAGGCTTGACATATGTTGATGTGGTGAAAGATTAATATCTAAAACTAAATAAAAAAAGAGACCATATACAAGGAGAACATTTAATTTTGGTATAAAAAGATCACAATTATTTATAACCATTCGATGTGAAATCTAATAACTTAGGTGAGCTACAAATTTTGACGAATTTTTTTTTAACTTTGAGCTTAGTCAATGGAATAAATGCAGCCACCCAATTTCACATCCAATGGTCAAGATTAATTGTGACCACCTTGTACACTAAAGGTAAATAGTCTTATTGTATACATTTCCATAAAAAAGAGAAAGCATATAAAGAGGTTATTTACTTTTAATACAAAGAAGTCATAATAACTTCCATCCATCAAATTTCAAATTGGATGGTTGTGAATGTATCAAAAAAAAAAAAATCGAACTTTGTGACACCCCAAGCCATCCAAATTGACTTCTAATGGCTAGTACCAATTGTGACCTCTTGGTACTAAAGATAAATGGTCTCATTAATATACAATGCCATAAAAATTAAAAAAAAAAATAGTTGTTTCAAATTTCACAGTCAACCCTATTTTGGATTAGTGATGTATTTCAAACTATAGAAAAGGGTGCAATTTCTATAAGGTTGCAACCTTAAACAATCCAATTAAAGCACACCTCCAAATTATATTATAATATGTACTTTTGGTATAAGAGATTCTTAGGATTATCTAAAAATCTATTTTCATATCCAATTATAAAACTTTAAACTCCAAAAATAATTAAAATCAAATAGATCTATAAACATATGAAAATCTTGAAAATGGACGGTCTAGATAATGTGTTGCAAGATGCACTATTTTTGAAACTCAATATCCTTTATATATATATATATATA